AAAAAAAAAACGGTGTATGTGTGTACAAAGAAACTTAAAATTTTTTTTTGGTTTTGAGAGCCAGGGTCTTGCTGTGTAGTTCAGGGTGGTCTTGAACTCACTAACTAGTCCAGGCTAGCCTTGAACTTGTAGTGATCCTCCTGTCTCAGCTTCCCAAGTGCTGGGAAGACATTTTTTAAAAATAAAAGAAATTTTAAAAAATAAAAAACACAACAAAGAAATGTCCCCCCAAAAACAAAAAATGAAGAGAAACATACAAACAAAGAAGCCCCCCCAAAACAAAAAGGAAAACATCTTAAGAAATCTTTCCCTATTTTATGGAGTACGTCTGGCACAGAGGACATACTCAATAGCTGATGTCACCAGTTTTTTGGGTCTGAAAGACAGAGGTACTTCTCACAAGAAGTCACAAGAGGGCAGCTGGAAACCAGGAAGCTGGTCTCGCTGGGTTACAGATAAGTTTTCCTGTCCATCCTTACTAAGAATGCACTCCTCAATCCTAAAGGAAAACAATGCTGCATTGAAAACCTGGGCTCCTCTCATTCACAGTAGACAAAGCTTTGGAGCACCTGCAAGCTGGTCTGGACCTGAACGCAGTATCTCCCACAACCAGGACATCAACTCTGGAGGCCTATGGCAAAGCGCTCACGAATTTGACGGCAACAAAGAAGAAGGAGCATGGGGACAGAGACACTCACTTTCGGAGTGGGAGAAGCCATATCCCCCCATATCCACTCTCATCCTGTCCTCTTCCTCACTCCCTGCCACTACGTGGCTACATGATGTAATACAACGGACAGAGATTTTTGGAAACTGCCAAAGGTCTAAATCAAGGCTCTTTACTTTCTCAGGCCTCAGTTTTCTTCTCTAAATAAAACAGGAATGGGCTGGGATTTAGCTCAGTGGCACACTGCCTGCCTCACAAGCACAAGGTCTTGAGTTTGATCCCCAGTACCAAAAAAAAAAAAGCTAAAAAAAACACCTAGGAATAATAAAATTTGCTTTTTGTTTTTGTTTTTTTGGTACCGGGGATCGAACTGCACTTGTGAGGCAGGATTTAGTGAGCTAAATCCCTAGCCCCCATTTGCTTTTTAAGAGTGCTATATATACATAATAAATTGCAGTATTTTTAAGCTTTGGTTTAGGCACAAACAACAAGATGCTGTGGCAAGTAATGGGATTTAAAATTAAGATAGTTCCTTTCTTTATGATACTTGGCAAATCATTTCATATGAGTTTCACACCTACATGTTAGTGTAGTTGTAAGAATTTTATGAGAATATACCACTAAGAACTCTCAGCCATAGTGCTCCAGCCAAGAACAACCTTCGGCTCTTAAATAAATCAAAATCTTAGTATGTATGGCCCAGATCAAGTGTTGTAGCCTCAAGGAAATCTTGCTCTAATAAGTTCTAAAGTATAAATAATATGCTATTTATAAATACTATGACATTCTGGTCAAAATGCACTGATTTGGAAAGATCTCAGTGATACTAAGTGAAAATAAAAGAGAAAAACCATACACTATAATTCCCTCTTACAATTGTATTTAAAGGGGGAAAGAGCATACCATTCTTTTGCTTAACAGTTTTATGGGTTTCTACTGCGGACCAAGACCAAGCTCCTCACCTGACATTCAAGTCCTTCACTGTCTGGGCCCCACCAGCCTCTGTAGCCTCAGCTAAGAACCAGCCTCACCATCCTCTGAACCCTGGGGTACAGCTACCCGCAAAGTGCTCTTCACCATCTTTTCCTCTAGGTCAGTGGTTCTCAGACTTGAGCATGCAGCAGAATCACCTGGAGGTTATGTCAGATTACCAACTGCGGTTTGCTACCCACACACAGAATTACCAACACACAGAATTTCTGATTCACATGTGAGGTGGGGCCCAAGAATTTCTAAAATGTTCAACTGATGCTACTGTTCTAGGGCCATTTTGCCAGCCACTTCATTTACAATGATTATTTCCCTACCTAAACAGAGGCTAAACAACCATGTCAGTTTGCCTGGGCCTGCTGGTTTTAGCGTCAAAAGTGCAATGTTGCTGATAATCCCTCAGTTCCAATACTGGGATAGTTTGTTTACCAGAAATAAGAATCTCTCCCACGCAGCTTCTTGTAAGGTATTTACTGATACTGCCAAGCATCTTCTTTAGGGCCAGACCAACATGGACTCTGGAGGAAGGAGTTCCATTTTGTTCACTGACTTTCTACTGGAGTAAGAGAACTTTAACAAAGTTTTCCAAATTCAGGTTTCTCCAAACATTTATTTCCTGCAGGGAACAGGCTTCAGACCTCTATTACTTGTAAACATGTAACACAATTTGGAATGATCACAAACTGCCAGCATCCAGATCTCTGCCCTATGTTGTGCGGTGGGTCTATGTAAGGAGAAGACGGGGCAAAGGCAGTGGGCATTCGTGAGCAGTCATTACTGCTGCTGCTGCTGCACCTTCTTCCTTCCTTTTGGTGGTACTAGGGATTTACCTCTGGACTAAGCACCATCTCCAGCTCTTTAAAAGTTCTCTTTATTTTGAAATAGTGTCTTGTTAAGTCTTTAAATTGCCCAGGGTAGAACTGAACTCTCTATCCTCCCTCAGCTTCCCAGAGTGCTAAGATTACGGGCATGTGGCACCATGCCCAGCTACACGTGAGCTTCTTCCTCAGCTCACATTAGGTCTTGGGATGCTAGATCCTCTGGGCCAGTTCAGCTCACTTGCTGTGACTTCCAAGGCGTGCCTATGACACTAAGGAGTCACAGACTTTGGGAAGGACTGACGATACTTCCACTCATTGTGAATCAGGGTCAATGCTTTTCAGTAACTTTCCAAGAGGTCAGAGGTCAGAAGTCAGAAAGCTGATAGCGTCTCAAGAGACCATCTCGACAGCATGTGTAGATTTGCTTCTCCCACGTGGCTGCCTGGAACACAAAAATGCACGGCTCAAAGGAAGCCTGAGATTCTTCCATTTCAAAAAGATGGAGGCTGGTCATTGCCCCTCATTAGTCCAAGGAGTCTGAAATACCTTTGATTCTGAAGGCAAGAGATTACATTCATAAACATATTTACAAAATCTCTGGCCAGGGCCAAGGGTGCACTTATGACTACAGAACAGAAAAGCATTGGCCTAAGTGCAATGCAAACCCATTAAGAGTCGCACATGGGTTAGTGCAGAGGGTCTGTACTGGGAGAGGAGATGGACTAATGACAGGCTTAGGTATCCCTGAACCTTTTAAAATTACATGCTACAAAAAAAAAAAATAATAATAAAATAAAATAAAACAACCAGGGATTTAGCTCAGTGGCACTGCGCCCGCCTCGCAAGCGCAAGGTCCTGAGTTCGATCCCCGGTACCAAAAAAATAAAATTACACACTAGCTGGGCGTGGTGGCACACACCTGTAATCCCAGCATTTGGGAGGCTGAGGCAGAAGGATTGCTGTGAGCTGGAGACCAGCCTGGGCTACATAGTGAGTTCCAGGTCAGTCTCTACTACATAGTGAGACTCTGTCTCAAAAAACAAAACAAAAACAAAACAAAACAAAAAAACAACCAAAAAGACAAAACAAAAAACAAAATTACATGCAAAAAAAATTACATGCAAAAAAGTGCTGAATATAAACTTATTAACAGGGAAGATTTCATTAACTTCTCAAAGACAGATAAGAACCACTAACATCATGGAAACAGCACGCACTCTGTAATTATTATCAGGTTTGCTACCATGTAGCTATATGACCTAGGGCAACTTTCTCAATCTTTTTGGGTCTCAGTTTCTGCCTTTATAAAATGGAAATGATATGTTAGTTTACAACATAGAACACAATGCAGGAACTTTTTTTTTTCTTTTTGGTTTTTTTGAGACAGGGTCTCACTGCATAGTTGAGACTGACCTGGAACTCACTATGTAGCCAAGGCTGGTCTCAAACTCACAGTGATCCTCCTGCCTCCGCCTCCTGAGTGCTGGGATTACAGGTGTGAGCCACCACACCCAGCTTACTATGCAGGAATTTTAAAAAATGAAATGAATCTGTATGTATTTACCTGGGAAAAGTTCTAAAATGTTAAGTAAAAAATAAATAAGCTACAGAGCAATACATGCAGAGTGGTCCAATTATGTACAAACTAAAGATAAAACTGTATTATTTATATAAATGCATAAATACACAGATATAAGGTTGAATGTTCTCTAAAAACAGTCTTAAAAGCTATATGTAGGGTTGGGGATTTAGCTCAGGTAGGACGCTGTTCTAGCAAGCATGAAGCCCTGGGTTCAGTCCTCAGCACCACCCCGCAAAGATATGTACAAAATAATGCTAGTTAGTGCTAGAAAGAAAAGTGGAACTAAAAAGGTCTTAGAGTAGACTTTTAAGTCTGTGTAGTTCTGTATCATGAATTTTTATAGGTATGAATTATACAACTTTTCGAAAATTATATGACAAAATGAGAATAATAATAATTCCTATACCTCAAGGAATGGCAACAAAGACCTGATAGGATAATATCTCTACAATAAATATGAGATGAGACAATATTTTATAATGTCTGGTCAGTAAATATTATTTCATTTTTCTTTCCACTCTAATCAAATGAAATAATCAGGCTTGAGATTTAATAGTTGCTAATTTTATGGAGATACCTCAAAGAGCTGGGACTAGAGGTTCCATTTGATCCAACCATCCCTCTGCTGGGTATCTTTCCAAAAGAGTTAAAAGAATCATATCACAGATGTATGTGCACCTATGTTTATGGTGGCATAGTTTATAATAGCTAAAACTTGGAAACAGCCCATTTGTCCATCAGTTGGAAACTGGATAAAGAAGATGTGGTTTTTCTACAAAATGGAATATTACTCAGCCATAAAGAATGAGAAATTAGATTCATTCACAGGAAAATGGACACATATTGAGGATATACTCCTAAGTGAAATAACTCACACACTTGTAAATACCAAATAGTTTCTCTGGTGTGAATAAACTACAATAGTACATAAGATCCTAATATATAATGGACAATGTGAAATAGGAAGAAAGGGGCTAAAAGTGTGGGGAAAGTGGGAAGGGTAGTGGAAAGCTAATAAGGGAAAAGAAAAAAATATGAGAAAATGAAAAAATGGAAATGAAGTGTTTGTAAAGGGGGAGGGGAGGCGGGGGGGAAGGGAGGGCAGGGACAAGGAGAAAAAATGAGAACCAAGACCTGTCATGTAAAGGTACAAGATCCCAATAATGAATGTAACTGTACTGTATACCTAAAATGTACCAGTAAACTCAATGAGAAAAAAAAAAGTCGCTAATTTTAAAAGAATACATTTATAAAGGAAGTCTCCTATGAAGTATCTCATTATTATTCTCATTTTACAGATGAATTAACAGACTGAGAAGATGGAATTTTTCAAGTTTCTAGAGCAGTAAATGATGGTCTCTCCTCTGGCTCAAAAGCTTTGATTTCTTTCCATCTACCCATTAAGCAGTATTTAGTATACCTAATGATCACAAGGTAACCTGATTCAGTCCCTTCAAACTCCAAGATCCCAGGTAGGAATAACCCAGGCCTAGTGTCCTTTCTGGCCTGTACCTTGTATACAGGGTCACAGTCAGCCCCAGTGAGCTCAATGGCATAGTCTAAATCTTGCTGAACAATGAAACAGCTTCCATCACCTAAAAGGCAAAAAGAAAAGTTAGATAACTAAAGAAACTGCTTGCCTAAAGTAGATAGACATAAGATACAGAATAGTAAGTAAGTCTTACTACATGGGCCAATCATGATGATCTACAGCTGCTGCCTAGAATGCTGGGCTGGGCAGTATTTGAAGGCCAAGTGCAGAGTCAGTGGGAAGAAGGGCTGCCTGCAATTTGTAATGCCTGACAAAAGCACAGAGCAAGCAACTGCAGGCTTACACATTTATTTGCAAACTTATCCTTGACAATGTTCCTAAATAAGGAATCGGTCTATACAAATGTTTTAAGAAAAATGTATGTTCCCAAATTATTCCTTAAGCTATGAACCTAACAACATATATGAGGCAGAGAAAAGTTATACCGAGAAAATGAAATTATAGCTAATCTTGGGCTGGGGGTATAGCTTTGTGGAAGAGCACTTGCCCAGCGGGCACAAGACCCTAAGATTCAATTCCTAGCACTATAGAGAAAAAAAAAAAGTACTATCTATTTCCTCAGAAGAGACAAATGAAATGGAATAATCTACACATAAAATGGAATAATCTATAAAACATTTAATAAGGTGATTTTTTTGCTGTTAATTTAATATTATTTTTTTTCTTTGGAGACAGGGTCTCACTATGTAGTTGAGACTTACCTGGAACTCACTATGTAGCCCAGGCTGGTCTCGAATTTACAGTGATCCTCCTGCCTCAGCCTCCCGAGTGCTGAGATTACAGGCGTGCACCACCACGCCCAGCTTAATTTAATATAAAATTGTAGCTCACTGAAGAGAATATTAAAAATAAAGAAAATAGTGATAATAAACTACTTATAATGTACCCCTCAAAGCTAATTAGTACTAATATTTTGAGTCATTCTTTCAATCTTTTTAGTAAAAATTATTTTACATGGAAAGAAGCATGCTGTATAAGGAGAATGCCTTCATGCAGATCACTTTTTCTATATTAAGACTTTGCTAGCATGCTGTTAGGCATGGTGCTGACACTTGTAATCCGAGAAATCTCATCACTTGGGAGGCTAAGGCAACAGGATTGCTGCAAATTCAAGGCCAGCCTGAACTATATAATGAGACCCTGTCTCCAGTAACAACAACAAAGACTTTGTATAAGACCCTGGAAACAAAAATCAAAGATACCAATTTACCTTTTCAAGTTTTTTTGAAATCTGAAATACGGCTTTCCAAATATATCTGATAATTAATGTACACTCCAATAAACAGTATATGAGAGGTAATAATTTGGCCCCCTTGCCTTTTTAAGGTACTGAAGACTGAATCCAGTACCTTCAAATTGAGCTATACCCTCAGCCTCTTTTTCATTTTTTATTTTGAGACAGGAGCTCAAGTTACTAAGTTGCCCAGCCTAGGCAGTCCTCCCACCCTGTCATCCGGAGTGCTGGGATACATACAGGTGTGTGCTATCACCCCTGGTTTACCTTGTCCTTTCTGGCATTATTAGAAAAAAATAACCTTTTCAGAAAAAAATCCTCAGCTTTTAGAGATACATATAAAAATATGTTTGTGATATATTTCAAATGTTTTGAGGGTTCATTACGATTGCAAGAAAATGGGTAAAACAAGATTGGTCATACACTGATAATATTACCAGCTGAAGTTGAGTAATGGGAACCCTGGATTCATTATGCTCTTCTATCTACTTTTAGGTATTTCTTGATTTCCATAATAAAAGGCATTTTTTCCTTTTCTTTCCTTTTTTTTTGTAGTGCTAGATATCGAATCCAGAACCTCAAGCATACCAGGCAAGTGCTCTATCACAGAGCCACATCAATAGCCCTAAAAAGTTTGTTTTTTTTGGTACCGGGGATTGAATTCAGGTCCTTGCGCTTGCAAGGCAGGCCACTGAACCACTGAGCTAAATCCCTGGCCCAGCCCTAAAAAGTTAAAAAAAAATTGTTCATGTGATAACTTAAATCTCACTAACAACCAAAGAAGCTCAAAGATTTTTCATGTCCAACTTCTAAGCCAGTACAGAATATACCTGTGGAGGAGACAACCAGCCATGCTGTCCACCTCTACTGCCAAGTGCTCACTGCCTCAAAAACCTCTTCTTTCTTAGGGAACAGAAAGTGTTTCCTTATAATGAACCGAAATGTGACTCCTGATAACCTTTTCCTATTGGTTTTAGTCCTGTCCCCTGAGAACAGTTATACTTTCGTTTCCTGTACCTTTAGGTGTAACAGAACTTATGCCTTGCCTTCTTCATTGCAAAAACAGCTACAACAAATATAAAAATTCCTTGAATTTCAAGGAATTATCTCTCTAAACTGACCGTGGACTCACCTTGGCTAGCAATGAATCCATCTCTGAAATTCAGCAGGGATAGAACTGGTGCTCCTGATCTGTGGATGACTTGTACTGGAGCTCTAGGATTCAGAGTAGGAGAAATTTTACTTTTTTGTTTGGTTTTTTTGGTTTTTTGGTTTTTTGAGACAAGGTTTCACTGTGGAGTTGAGACTGACCTGGAACTCACTGTGTAGCCCAGGCTGGTCTCGAACTCACAGCGATCCTCCTGCCTCAGCCTCCTGAGTGTTGGGATTACAGGTGTGCGCCACCATGCCCAGCTATTTACTGTTTTCTTTGAAAGCAACACCTGACTATACTCAACATAATAGTAAAAACCACATAAAAGGACACAGGACAGATATAGAGAGAAATTAAAACCATTCATATAGTTTCTTTTTTTTTTTTTTGGCAAGTTCTGGTAGATGAAGGTAACTAAAAGCCACCCTGAAGTGAGTCTCAAAACATGAACTAAGTTACCGCCAAAATCTCAAGTTTTTAGAGGAGCCCTAATATGTGTCAAAGATAACAATGTTAACAATATTTTAACATTTTTTTTAACTTGAAGACAGAATTGAGACTAGTTTTGAAGTACTGTATATTATTTGGACAAACAAAGGAAATAAAAGGAAGGAATAGAATAATAGAAACTGTTAAATCCTGTAACAGTGGCCATACGATTCTCTTTGAATATTTTTAAAAACATGAGACAGCTTGTTTTATATAGGTCATGATCAAAGCTAAATAGGAAATAGAATTGGCTCATACGAATTTAAAAATGATCACTCAATCTTAGGCCAGCACAGGTCTAATATCCTAGAGAAAACTACTGAGCTTCTTAAAGTTAAAAGCTCTAGTCAATCATTTTAAATGCAGCTATTTTATTATTTAAACTTAATTTCCAAAGCAATTATTACAGTTGGACAACCATGACAGTAGGAGTCAAATTATCTTTTAATACAATTCTAGGAATGATAAAAGCAATCACATAATTTACACAAGAAAGACTTTATCGATGGAAAAAGATATGCTTAGCTCAACAGTCATCTATCTGCTAGTCTAAATCAATATTAAAGCCAATAAAAAATTCCACTCTGTAGACCTGCATCAGGCAAATGGATGGTGACTCACCTTGGACTCCTCACATCCAGCTGATAAATGTTTCCATCTTGCGTTCCAGCCAATAGCAAGAAGCCAGAGAGAAAAGTACAGCAGTTGAAAGCATCTGAGCCAATAAAAAGGAAGACCTGGGAACAATAGGAGACAAAACTGTCATTTAAAGATTACTTTGTTTCCAGGAATAAACAGATATCAAAAAAGGGGGAATTTCACTATTTTTAGAGATTCTTTCTTTCCCTCTATAAGAATTGTGAACAGGAAACGGCACGCACCAATAACTGATAAAGAAGGTCTCCCTGGATTTCAAGACCTGAGGCTAGCTGAAGCCTTGAGCAGTTTATGTAAAAATATGCTGTGAGGTAACAGTTTTCAAACTAATACACTTCAGCATTCTGACTCACAGACTCTTCTCCACCAAAAATCTTTTTTTCCCTGAATTTTCATCACAACCCTCCATTTGAAAAACACTTGTTATTCCATGTTTATGTCTTGCTTCATGTTACTTCCAGCAACCTTCTGAAGGAGATACTTTGTAGGAAAAGAAAAAAAGCTTAAATATAATGAGGAAATTTAAAGAGTCAAATTATCCCATGTGTAAAAATATTCTTATACTTTCTTTGGTTTTTTTTGGGGGGGTTGTTTGTTTGTTTTGTTATTGTTTTTTGGTACCAGGGATTGAACTCAGGATGTAGCGCTTGAGAGGCAGGAGGCAGTACCACTGAGCTAAATCCCTGGCCCTCTTACACTTTTTTTTATTCTAGACTGTTAGCTCTAACTGACCATTTCATCCACATATATTCCAGAAAGAGAATAAAATAAACAAACAAACAAACAAACAAACCTGATTCACCTCTGGAAGTAAAAGCTGGCATTGTTCACGTACAAAGGCAGTACTAGCAAAAACAGTCATGTTCCTGGGATAAACTTTGAAAATGAAAATATTCCTAGCACAACGGAGTTAACAAGATAAAATAAAAAAGGCTAAGGCCAAAAGAAGTTATGATAAACAAAAGTTTATTTTGGGTTATTCTAAAATTATTCTGGGTGATGATGGTTAAGAACCAGAAGAAAAACATTAAAAATCTAATCTCAGGGCATGCAGAGTCTAGTTACGAGCAAGATATGCCCACCCAAACCTCTGTGGATAAAAGAAGAAAATTCAACTAATTCTTCTATAAAATATCTTCTGGTCATTAACTGATCAAGAACCCTGAATGCATGACCTTCGCTAAGAATTTCTTCCCATTATCTCAGAAGTAGAAGGATTCCATAATGAAGATCTATAAAACCTCATCATTTTACACATATCACATTAAGGTATAGAGAGTGAGTTTATTTTTTTTAATTAATTAATTAATTTGGATTTTTTTTTTGGTACTGGGGATCGTACTCTGGCCCTTGCACTTGCGAGGCAGGCAGTACACTGAGCAATGCCCCCCGCCCTAGAGAGTAACTTAAAAAGGCCACAAAGCAGAAAAGCACTTCATCTTCATCACATAATCCCATAAATTAAGTCCTATTATGCCTAGTTTAGTGACAATAAAATTGGATCACAGAGGTTAAGAAACTTCTCCAGTAACAGAGCCATTAGGCACTAAGAGCTGTGATTAAATCCCACCCCATTCCAAATCCCATGCTTAGTTACTACACGTACTTCCTCTCACCCACACAGCCACCTCAAAGAGGGAACACAAGAAGCAAGTAGAAATGTTTCTAAACAGCTTGCCAAGAATTGGAGTGACCCCAGGCTTCAAAGGTCTTATAAGGAACCACTTGCCGGCTGCCTGCTCTGAAGTCCCAGGCACTGAAGCTTCTTATCTTCCCGGGCTACCAGCAACATTTTTGCTTCTGTTCCAACCTCCCGTTCACCTGAGGGACAGATGAGCCATGTCAATGACAGCTACACTGGTCTGCTGACCACACTATATATTAGTGATTCACCGATTAATTTTTTTAAAACTTATGTTCTATTTCTCACTGTGGCATTGTGTATTCAACAGTACATATTTATCAAAACTTCTAGAACTCAAATTTTTTAATTAAAAATTCAAAACCTTACAGAACTGTACAATTAAAAAGGGTGACTTCAGCTAGGTGTGGTGTTGTACACCTATTAATCCCAGCACTCTGGGAGACTGAGAGGCAAGAGGATCACAAATTCAAACTCAACCCAGGCAACTCAGCAACTCAGTGAGACCTTATCTCAAAACTTTAAAATGGGAGGATGAGCTCAATGCAAATGCTCTGGGTTCAATCCCAATACCATAAAAAGGTGACTTTAACTGTATATAGCCCATATTCCACAAATGCAACTTTACAAATCCTTTTATTAAATAAAAGTACAGTGCAATTTAGCAGATAAAACTAATGGCTATAACTCATTTAGTGAAGCTGGCGTAATGGCACAGGCCTGCAGCTGCAGTACTGGGGAGGCTGAAGCAGGAGGATTGCAAGTTCGAGAATTTACTATGTTGAAATTAACCAAGACCCTATCGCAAAATAAAAAAATTTTTAAAAAAGGTTGGGTGCTGGGGGAATGCTCAGTGATAGGGTGCCCCTGGGTTTGATCCCCAGTACCACAAAAAAAGTATTTTTTTCTTTTGTTTCATCTTCTGTTGTGACAAGGTCTTGCTAAGTTGCCCAGGCTGGTCTTGAACTTGCTAATCTCAGGTGTGCACATCACTGGTGATGTGTTTTAATGACCACAATGGTATGTCAAGTGAATGGATTATAGGAGAGCAGTACAGTAATAACAGAGACAAAAAGGTGATGACAGAATAGACCAAAATATTTGTGGGAGGGCAGGAGAAACAAAAAGGAGAGAGCAGTGAAAAAACCAGAAACACTAACAGTAGAGATGTGACTGCTGATGTGGGACATGGGGAAAGGGAGGGTAGAGCATGAGTTAATCTCAGGTTTTGAGCTTGAGCAAATGAGTACATGGTGGTACCACGTTCTTTTTTTTGAGACTCGCTATGTAGTTTAGGGTGCCATCAAAACTCAGGGCAATCCTCCTGCCTCAGCCTGGTACCACTTTCTGAGGTGGGGAAAAAATGAAAAAAAAGAGATTAAATATATCTTGTTAGACAAGGCAAGGTTAAACTATCTATCAGATATCAAAATAGTGCCTCAAATTTAGATGAGCCAGGTGTGGTGCATGCCTGTAATCGCAGCACTGGAGAAACTGAGGCCAGAGGATTGCTGCGAGCTGGAGGCCAGCCTGAGTTACACAATGAGTTTAGGGATAGACCAAATTAAATAAAGAGTGAGATCCTGGTCTCCAAAAAACAGAAAAAAGGGGCTGGGGATTTAGTTCAGTGGTTCCACCACTTGCCTAGAAAGCGCAAGGTACCGAGTTCGATCCCCAGTACCAAAAAAAAAAAGCATTGGAGGTATAATGGGGTGAGCATAGCTGCCTTTCAAATTCAGGTGAGATATCGTATGCTTTAGACAGGATTTTTAAGTAATCAGCTAAAAAACAATATTTAAAGTGAAGGAACTGATGAGATTGCCTAGGGAGAAACTATACTTAGAGCTGAGAACCTGGGACTGAATAGTGGCGCACGCCTGTAATCCTAGCACTTGGGAGGCTGAGGGAGGAGGATTACTGTGAGTTCGAGACCAGCCTGGGCTATATAATGAGTTCCAGGTCAGTCTCAACTACATAGTGAGTCCCTGTCTCAAAAAAAAAAAAAAAAAAAAAGTGAGCCTCACTAATATTTAAAGGTAGAAGAGAGGAGACTAAGGAGCAGTATCCAATGAGATAGAAGAAAGCCTACTAAATTATCATAGAAGGAAAAACAAAAAGTATTTTCAATACACTGGGTGTGGTGGCACATGCCTGCAATCCCAGCACTAGGAAGGCTGAGGCAGGAGGATCCCTGTGAGTTCGAGGTCAGCCTGGGCCACACAGTGAGTTCCAGGTCAGTCTCAACTGCATAGTGAGACCCTGTCTCAAAAAAAAACATAAAAGTGTTTTCAATAAAAGAATTTACTATGTTGAATATCGTTCAATTCAGAAAGACAAGCACAGACTGCTGTGTGGTAGTGGAGCATCTGGAGGCTGAGGCAGAGGCCAGACTGGGATACATAGTGAGCTCAAAGCAAGCCTGAACTGCATAGCAAGACCCTATCTCGAATAAACCAGGTGTGGTAGCGCAGGCCTTTAATCTCAGGACTTGGGAGGCTGAGGCAGGAGGATCGTAAAGAGTTCAAGGCCAGCCTGGGCTACATAATGAGTTTGAGGCCAGCTTGAAATACATAAAGACCTGTCTCAAAAAAGATCAGTAGAGGGAAGTAAGACTGGATTAGGCAACAGTGACCCTGACTCTTCATTTCAGTCAAGTATCTAGGCATAAACCATCGTAGAACATAATGAAGAATAAGTTAGAAATGAAAAAGTAGAAAAAAATAAGAATATTATCATTTAAATTATTGTACTTACCAACTAATTTTTAAAATTTTAACCCTATTTTAAGTAATAATGGCTATAAAATCTTAGCTTGGAAGCAAGGTATGTGTATATTATATTAATATGTAATTATACAAACCACATAGTATATAAAATGATCTCATTTACCATTAACTGCACATGTATCCCCCTTTAGGAAACAGGTGCTCCCTATCAATCTATTAATTTTTGTTTGTTTTTGGTACCAGGGATCGAACTAGGGTCCTTGCACTTGCCAGGCAGATGGTGGAACCACTGAGCCAAATCCCTGGCCCTAATCCATTAATTTTTAAAAAGGGGACAGGCTTCTTGGCATCTTCCTAAAGGAATTGAAAGTATCATACTAGGGCCAGGGATTTAGCTCAGTGGTTCTGATGACTGCCTCGCAAGCTCAAGGACCTGAGTTCGATCCCTGGTACCAAAAAAAAAAAAAAAAAGTATCATAACACAGCAATATATATACATTTGTGTTTACAGCAGCACAATTTGTAATAGCTAAATCTTGGAAACAGCCCAAATGCTCTTAAACCAATGAATGCATAAAGATGTATTTTGTATTGTTTTTCTTGGTACTGGGGATTGAACTCAGGACCTTTCACTTGTGAGGCAGGCAGCGACACCATTGAGCTAAATCCCTGGCCTAAGGTGTGTTTTTTTTAATACAATGGATTATTATTCTGCCATAAAGGAGGATACACTTGAGATATTTCTAGCTAAATAGATGCATTTTGAGACCATACTCAAGTGAAATAAATCAGATACACATGTGTAATACCGCATTGTTTCTCTCGTGTGAGAAACTGAAAGGACTGAAATGTATAATAGGTATTGGGAAACGGGAAAAAAATGTTTGAATGAGAAGGGGAACAGGTGGGGGGAAGCAGAAGGGAAAAAAGAGACAAGAAAACAGAATAGAAGGAAAAAATGGAAATAAAGCTTTTGTAAATAAGGATGGAAAGAGGTGTTGAAAGGAGGAGGGGGGATGGGAAAAAAAGAAGCAAGATAAATCATGTATAGGTACAAATTCCCTATGATGAGTGTTATCATATCTAAAATGCACCAAAAGCTGGGTGTGGTGGCCCATGTCTGTAATCCCAGCACCTGGGAGGCTGAGGCAGGAGGATCACTGTGAGTTTGAGACCAGACTAGGCTACATCGTGAGCTCCAGGTCAGTCTCAACTACATAGCGAGACCCTGCCTCAAAAAAAAAAAAAAAAGTTTACATTAAGTGACCCACAAGCGACAATCGCAGGTTTTTTTTCTCCCCCTTTTATACTCTATCTAGGCTACCCAGCTTAGGGTGCATCCAAACCCAATCTGTGGACTAATTTAGTAATCACTCACCCTTAATCCCAATGCCCTTAATTCTAGCATTGCATCATGAATCAATCTCAGCATCACACACTCTAGATCGAGCCACCTTTGAAAAGCCCCACCTACGACTATATGTGGCTTTGGGGGGACATTTAGACATAAGCTGTAACACTGGGCTACATAGTGAGCTAAGGCCAGCCTGAACCACATAGCAAGACCCTGTCTCAAAAAAAAACACTAAAAAAACCCAAAAAGTCAGGTGTGGTGGCACGAGAGCCTGTAAACCCAGCACTCCAGAGGTTAAGGCAGGAGGACTACTACAAATTCGAGGCCAGCCTGGACTACATAGTGAGTTCAAAGCCAGCCTGAGCTACACAGCAAGACCCTGTCTCAAAAAACCAAGAAACCAACCAAAAAAAATTTTTTTTTGCCTTATTAGGACCTTTACTTTTCTGTCTCAATAGAGCTATTCAACCTAACGTTCTTTTTTTTTGTTTTGTTTTTTTGAGACACAGTCTCACTTTGTAGTTGAAACTGATCTGGAACTCACTCTGTAGCCCAGGCTGGTCTCGAACTTACAGCGATCCTCCTGCTTCAGCCTCCCGAATGCTGAGATTACAGGTGTGTGCCACTACGCCGAGCTCTAACATTCTTTTTTTTTTTAGTTTATTGGTACATTTTAGGTATACATTACAATTACATTCATTACTGGGATCTTGTATCTTTGCATGACAGGTCTTGGGTTCTCATTTTTTCCCCTTGTCCCTGCCCTCCCTTCGCCCTCCTCCCCTCCCCATTTACAAACACTTTATTTCCATTTTTTCATTTTCTCATATTTTTTTCTTTCCCCTTATTACCTTTCCCCTACCCTTCCCACTTTCCCTACACCTTTAGCCCTTTTCTTCCTATTTCACATGGTCAATTATTTCATTAGGATCTTATGTACTAGTATAGTTTTTCACACCAGAGAAACTATTCGGTATTTACACATGTGTGACTTATTTATTTCACTTAGGAGTATATCCTCAATATGTATCCATTTTCCTGTGAATGAATCTAATTTCTCATTCTTTATGGCTAAGTAGTATTCCATTCTATAAAAAACCTTGCATCTTCTTTATCCCGTTTCCAAATGATGGGCAAATGGGCTGTTTCCAAGTTTTGGCTATTAACAAACTGTGCCACTATAAACATAGGTGTGCATATATCTCTGTGATATGATTCTTTTAATTCTTTTGGAAAGATACCCAGCAGAGGGATGGCTGGGTCAGATGGAACCTCTAGTCCCAGCTCTTTGAGGTATCTCCATACTGATCTCCACAGTGGCTGCAGCAGTCTGCACTCTGACCAACAATGGAGAAGGGTTCCTTTCTCCCCCCATATGTATATTTTTATATAGCACTCAATCTCACCTCCACTGTTATGCAAATTGCTCCAAACATACTGTAGCTCCTACTCTCCCCGTTCTATCCTATTCAACTGGAATTCATCCTTCCTGATTTAAGTCAACTTCATTTGTAAGCATATAGTAACCTGTTACACTCCTTTCCTCTGTAAACCTATCATGTTTGCATTAAGAATCACTAAATTTTAAAAAATAAATTTACAAAAAAGAATCACTAAATTTTTTTTGGGTGAGCAGTACTGATCACTTTTTTTTTTTTTTTTACAATACTGGTTGGGGATTGAACTCAAGGCCTTTATACTGACCTACATCCCCAGCCTTTTTTATTTTTAATTTTGAGCCAGGTTCTCTCCAAACTCCTGAGTTGCAAAAGCTGGCCTCAAATTTGTCATCTTCCTGCCTTAGTCTCCCCAAAGTTCTGGGTTACAGGTGTATGCCACCTTCACTAATTGACTTATAGCCATTAGTCTTATCTGCTAACTTACACTCCATTTTAATATAGTGATTCTGATACATGCTTCTTTTGTTAACTCCGAAGACACAGAAACATAGTAAATATATTATAATTTTTTTTTTACTTTTTTTTTTTTTGAGATAGGGTCTCACTATGTAGTTGAGACTGACCTGGAACTCACTATGTAGACCAGGCTGGTCTTGAACTCACAGTGATCCTCTTGCCTCAGCCTCCCAGGATTACAGGCGTGCGCTACCACACCAGGCTTATAAATATATAATAGTAGGGCAGAAATTTAAATACCCACCACAGAGCAAGAAAGGATGAAAAAGAATAGGAGAAACTATGGCAAATACTGAAGGGGACTCAAGAAAACAAAACAAGCTCATACATCACTATCAACTTACTGGGGATCTGCTCTGGGGAGCCAAGGTTGATGGAGTTGTCAGCAGCACCCACCGCCACCCCATTAATGGAAGAACCACAGTCTGCAATGACTCCCAAACAGGCTGAGCGCCCACAATCCCAAAGTCGGGCTGTTCCATCTCGAGAGCCAGACACCACATTCCGTCCCCGGTCGACAATGGCTGTATCCAGGATACCTGGCAAAAGAAGAAAAGCCCTAAGATAGAGAAGGTAGTAAAGGACTACAAGGAGAGAAAAGACAGAGCAGCATAAATGCCTCTGTACCTTTATAAATGTGTACAGAACATGAACATGTGGTACCTGGTGGGCATTTAAAAATGCTAGAGAAACATGAGTAGAACAAGTACTTGCTTCCCATGGTTCAAAGACTAAGAAGAAACAGACATGTAAAGCCAAATTCTGGTTTTAATAATTAGTGGAGGGTTTCGGAGAAGTGGTTTAAAGTTTTATTTTGGCTTACTCACCTCCCCTTTTTAAAGAAAAATTAGGTAGACATTTTGAAAATTCAGTCTCATATCACTGTCTTAAAAGATCCTGCTGCTTCCACTGAGAGCTGTTTAAAAAGGATGTGATTTCTGGTTCCAGCCAAAAGGCAGTAGCCCCGTTCTTCCACATCCTTCCCCTTACAACAAAAACGACCCAGACATGACACAAAAAATACAAACAGGAAGACTCTGAAAGATGCAAAGGACTCAAACTACTTAGGGACCCCAGGAATTAAAAAACACAGAATTAAGCTCCTGGATTTCCTCCCTGCATCTCATACAGTCTGGACAGGCACAAGTCACCAATCCAGAACCACTAACAGCACATAATTTCATTTGTGTGTTTGTTTTCTGAGACAGGTTATTGCTATATAGTTCAGGCTGTCCTTGAACTCATTATGGAGCCAAGGCTGGCCTCAAACTCATGGTGATCCTCCTGCCTCAGCTTCCCAAATGCTATACAGGCATGAGCCACCAGACCTAAGCACACTTTTTTTTTGTTGTTTTTTTTTTGGCACCCGGGATCGAAATCAGGACCTTGTGCTTGCAAAGCAGGCAGTGGAATCACTGAGCTAAATCCCTAGCCCACACAGATTTTTTTTTAAGTGCACAATTTTTTAAAATCCAAGAAAAGTCTATTGTCCCTAGCCAAAAGATTTGGAAAAAAAGTAGCCTAATAACAAAAAATCTTGATCATATCCACCCTACTTCAGTCAAACACCAACAGAAAAGCTGCTATTTCTCTACCACTATTTTTTTCAGCAGGGCTGAACAGGAAGTGACCTTCTCTACCCCATGGAAAGATATAATTACTTATTACAAAAAATTAGAAAAAATATTAGGATTATAAATCCTATATGCTCAAACTCATCAAGTTTTTTTAAATGGCCTGGGAAATTTAACTTCAAACTAATTAACTCAAATATTAGAGACTTAAAACTACACTTAGTTTATCTTTCCATTTGAAAGATTCATAATACACACAGAAACGTTACCTTGATTGTTAATTTTAAAACATTCTAATCCTTTAATTATCTACATTAAAATATATATTTGTAGATATATACACACACACATATATATATTTAAAGAATACATGTACAAAACCAAGATCTGGCATGTAAAGGTACAAGATCCCAGTAATGAATGTAGCCGTAATGTCTACCTAAAATGTACCAATAAATTAAATTTAAAAAAATTTTTTTGAAGAAAAAAAAAAAGAATACATGTAAAAGGTACAAGATCCCAGTAATGAGTGTAATGTAACTGTACTATCTACCTGTAATGTACCAATTAATTCAATTAAAAAAAAAAAAAAGAATACATGTAAAGTTTTAGAGGCACCAATTTTGTTTGTTTTTGTTTTTTTGAGACAGGGTCTCACTATGTAGTTGAGACTGACCTGGAATTCATTATGTAGCCCAGGCTGGTCTCCAACTCAGCAATCCTCCTGCCTCAGCCTCCCAAGTGCTAGCTAGGATTACAGGCATGCGCCACCACGCCCGGCGAGGCACCAATTATGTATCAATTAAAATTGTATTTGTTTCTACTGGAAAATGTCTGTTCTATTAGAAATAACAATTTCTCCTTTTTATATTTGACAAATATGTTAAAACATGAAAAGCCACAAGCTCCTATATTCTAGCAATTACTAAAGCTTAATTTTAAATTATGTAAACAAAAAACCCACTTATTGTATACTTAACTATATCCTGAGGATTACACTTAATCATTTATTTGTACCATCTCATTTAATATTATTATCCTCATTTTGTTTGTTTGTTTTTTGAGACAGGGTCTCACTACGGAATTGAGACTGACCTGGAACTCACTATGTAGCCCAGGCTTGTTTCAAACTCACAGCGATCCTCCTGCCTCAGCCTCCCCAGTGCTGGGATTACAGGAGTGCGCTACCATGCTTGGCTCTCAGCCCTTTAGACAGAGTCTCACTAAGTTGCCCAAGCTGGCCTTGATCCTGCAATCCTGCTGCCTCATTCTGGAGAGGAGCGGGGATTATAGGCATGTGCCACCATGCCTAGCTCTGCTTCTCTTATTTTCTTACCACTTGTGAGAATCATTAATGATATTAAATGCAAATGCAACCTGGGGATGTGGCTCAGTGGTAGAAGAAGACCCTGGGTTTGACCCGAGCACTAATAAATGGAAAAAAAAGATAATAAATGAAAATAATAATTCTTTATTCTGTTTTTGTGTGTGGTTTGTGGGTGTGACTAATAAAATGCTTCAAAATTTTGCAATTCAAGAGATATTTAAAATGAGCCACACAAGGCCAGGGGTTTAGCTCATTGGTTCTGGTGCCTGCCTTTCAAGTGCAAAGACTGGAGTTGGATCCCTGGTATAAAAAAAAAAAAAAAAAAAAAAAAAAAAAGGAGACTAAAATGAGCCACACAGCTGGGTGTGGTGGTGCATGCCTATAATCCCAGCACTCGGGAGGCTGTGGCAGGAGGATGGCTTTGAGTTTTAGATGACAGCCTGGGCTGAGTACAGCGTAAATCCAGGCTGAACTACACAGCAAGACAAAAAACAACAATAAAAAAAAAAAGAGCCACACAAAGCAACTTGGAAACTGCTAGGCTCGATCAGTGAGTGGCTTCTATGTTGGTATCAACAATTAATCCTTACTTTTGTTCTGTGTGTGGAAGAATAAGCAACCCTAAAAAACTGGGAATATTTAAAAGAACTAACTGGAAAGGAGTATTTAATATCTGACAGTCATCAGCCTAGATCTGACCTCATGTTATTTCCTTTACCATGTATCATTTCTTTTTTTTTTGGTACAAGGGATCGAACTTATGACCTTGTGCTTGCAAGGCAGGAGGCGCCATTGCCACTGAGCTAAATACCTGGCCCCCACGTATCATTTCTCTTCAATCTGACAAAAACTCTCCTCTCAAGGAAAAAAAAAAAAAGGTCAGGGTTGTTATACTGCAAAAGTCTTACTTGCACCCTGAAAACTCCTCACAAGGCCAAAAGAAAGGAAAAACTATACAAGTAAAATCTTATTATCAGATTAACAAGCATTCTAAACTAAGGGTCACATATGTATTCCTGGAGAGACTTTAAGAATGTTGGGAGACATCATGACGATTCACATGGCAGGCTTACTCAGTAAGTGCAATGAGTCGAAGGTGTTCACATAAACTAAGTGAGCACTGATGCTGAAAATGCACCTTGTTAAGTTCAACATGCAGAGTCATGCTTTCTTTCACTGAAAAGTTTCCCTGGGCCTATATGTTCAGAGGGAGAGCCAGATCTAGGGTGAATCCTCCGCTATTACTTTTTTTTTTGGTATCGGGGATCGAGCACAGGTCCTTGTGCTTGCGAGGAAGATGGTGGAACCACTGAGCTAAATCCCTGGCCCCAATGTTACTTTTTTTTTTTTTTTTTGGTACCAGAGATCAAATTTGGGTCCTTGAGCCTGCAAGGCAAAACCACTGAGCTAAATCCCCAGCCCAAAGCATTGTACTCTACCTTTTCTTTTTTTTTGGTACTAGGGATTGAACTCAGATCCTTGTGCTTGTGCTTGCAAGGCTGGTAGCGGAACCGCTGAGCTAAATACCCACCCCTCCGATGTTACTCTTATTCCTGTGGCTCCTGGCTCCCACACTTTGCAGGCACCTTCTTAAACTTGTTAATTCTTTAAAAAGTAATGCGTTCTTTAATATAATACAAGGACGGCTCCAAATATTGTTTCTGTTCCCCCTCGATGTACCCATTTGTTTGGTAAGGTTGATATGTGTATTTGCTAAATCATCTGCAATGTGACAAACGATTATAAAGAAATAGTAAAACTTAAAATTTTATCTTTACAACCAGTTACAATGCAGTGGGGTTCACAAGGTAAGGACATTTAGGTGTAAATACCACAAGAAAAGGGCAATCCATAATTAATTCCCAAGTTAGTAGTATAGAAAATGTTATTATGGTTCTGATAGGTGGATGATGCAAGGTAAGGAATTGAGAATGTTACTGTATTTTTGAAATCTATAAACTTGAAATCCCTATATATATTTCTTCTTCTTCCTCCTCTTTTTTTCTTTTTCCTTCTTCAATACTGGGGACAAAACACAGAACCTTCATACTGAGCTATATCCCCAGACAGGGTCATACTAAATTGCCTAAGCTGGGCTCAACTCTTTTTTTTCTTCCTTTTTTTTTTTTTTGTACCGGGGATCGAACTCAGGACCTTGAGCTTGTGAGGCAGGTGGTGGAACTACTGAGCTAAATCCCAAGTCCCTGGGCTGAAACTTTCAATCCTCTTGCATGAGGTTCCCCAGAATGCTGGAATTACAGGTATGTGTTGCCACATCTAGTTTTATCATCTTAATATTCTAATTAAGGATAAAACATCCTTAAATTATGGTTTTTTTTCAGCAAACCAACTAATCAGTTACAAAGGGAAGATAGTCTCTGTCTCTACAATCTGATATTATCTAGTTATATGGATAATCCATCGTTAAAATATGAACTGGAAACTGACAGGCTACGTATCAAGCACTATCTTTGATATCTGGCAGTGAAGCCATTCACTACCTGGCTTTTACTGTCACCACAGCCAAAGGACTAATAATATGAAAGTGTAGATAGATTTTTTTCTGTCCCACTCTTTTTATTTTCCCCCAGCATATAAGTAGATGATCTCCTGGAGAGGATTTTTTTCCTTATCAATTACGGAGAACAATAATTTGTGTAAGACAGTTCTAGACAGCAATAACAAGACTAACTAGCAAAAGAATTTCTAGTCCTTGGGGAAACAGTATTTCATCCAAATGGCAAGGTGGATGAATTACTTACACATGTGTGAATAACTGGCTTCAGTTTCTATTTTAATTTATTTTGCTTTGATTTTTTGAGTCAGGGTCTTGCTATGCAGGCTGGCCCTGAACTCACTATGTAGCCCTAGCCTGGCATGAATCTTCCTGTAGCAGCCTCCTGAATCCTGGGATTACAAGTGCATGCTGGGATCACAGGCATGCTATCATGCCTAGCTCCTGATTCTACTGTTGCAGTGATTTGTTATGGAGACCATTAGAGAGGCTTTCCTACCTCCTCTGTGCCCTTTGAAGGTTGCCGCGCAGCTAGCATCTTCGGCTGACCAGATCTTCAGCTGAGCATCCATTCCCCCACTCAGAACCACAAGGCCTGATGGGAAAAACCTACAACAATTCACATCAAACACATGTCCTTCCAAAACTCTCTGGAAAAATAGAAGAAAATGCCATGCTAGTTCTCTTGTCCATCTCTTGATGTTCTCTCATCTCCCATAATTTTGGCCCCTTATATGAAATACCCATGTTATTAACTTCATGCTACATTAAAAAAAAAAAAAAAAAAAAAAAGCAAGCTGCCCAGGGCTGGGGATTTAGCTCAGTGGTTCCACCACCTGCCTTGCAAGCACAAGGACCTGAGTTCGATCCCCAGTACCAAAAAGAAAAAAAAAAAAGATACCCAAAGGATCTTTCTAGCTTATATGACTACCAAGTAATATTCTAAGAGTTGCTGGCTTTCTTTCCTGAGAGTAAGGTATAGACGTTGCAGAACTGAACTCCACAGTTCTCAGTTATCCCCAGGTCTATTTCTAAAATTTAGGAGCTGAAGAGGCACAGTAACTCTCTTACTCATCTTTTCTTAAAATCCTCTGTATACGTTGAAGGCTTAGACAAATATTCAGTCTAACAGCCTAGTTATGTTATGCTAGAAACTGACCACAGAATGCAGTTTAAACCGAAGGCTCATCTACATAAGATATTCATTGGTATGGCTCAACTGCTATAGCTCCATTTTGTCTGGCAAATTACTAATCTTGAGGACAGTTCTTTGATTTTTTTTTTTTTTGACAGTTCTCTAACAAATGGGAAAACAAAGATCAGCTGAAGTGCAGTGCTCTTATATCTTTACAATGGGCCATTCTTCCATGAGTCAGTCCAGGCTATCCCTCAAGTCTAAAACTCCAAAAAATATATTCAAATCATTTACTCTGAGCTCTCCATTGGAAGCCTGCCAGATCTTCATGCTCCCATCAGAACTAGAAGACACACCAAGGCCTCCTCCACTGGAAATGTCCAGGCATGTTATCTGTTCAAAAGATAAAATAAGGTCAGGATTTAGCTCAGTGGTTCTGCTGCCTGCCTTGCAAGCACAAGGTCCCGAGTTCAATCCCTGGTACTGCCCACCCCCCACCAAAAAAGACAAAACAAGTAGGGCTGGGGATTTAGCACAGTGGTTCGGTGCCTGCCTAGAAAGCACAAGGTCCCGAGTTCGATCCCCAGTACCAAAAAAAAAAAAAACAAAACAAAAACCCAAAAGATAGCCTTCAACATGCACCAGGAAGATTCAAGTAGGAGCAAAGACATTTATATATCTGTATAGCTGTGTACATACGACAGAGACACTATGCTCATAAAAACAAAATGATGAAATTGGAAACATCTGTATGTCTAGTAATATGAGATTGGAAAACTCATAGAAAAGTGTACAGCTGTGCAGTTCTTAAAATACTAGAAAGATTATACAGAATAATGTATATATGGGCTGGGGATGTAGCTCAGGGGCACTGCACCTGCCTAACAAGGGTAAGGTTCTGAGTTTAATCCCCAGGATCCCTCCCAAAAGAAAATAACATATATATAATTAAGGAATTAAAAATCAAGATATAAACCAGGCATGGTGGCACACACTTCTAATCCCAGCACTTGGGAGACTGAGGCAGGGAGGATCACTGTGAGTTTGAGGCCAACATGGGCTACATCGTGAGTTCAAGGCTAGTCTGAACTACATATTGAGACCGTCTCAGGAAAAAAAAAAAAAAGCAAAAAAGAAACCACCAACAGAGCTAAGAGACATCCTACAATGTGGGAAAAAATTTTTACCAGCTGATCCTCAGACAAAGGACTATTATCTAGACTATATAAAGAATTCAAAAAAATCAGGACCCCCAAATATAAAGACCTGATTCAAAAATGGGCATCTGAAATGAATAGGTATTTCTCAGATAAAGAAGTAAAAGCAGCAAATAAATATATGAAAAAATGTTCAACATCACTGGTCATTCAAGAGATCCAGATGAAAACAACACTGAGATTCCACCTCACCCCAGAAAGAATGGCTGCTATCAAGAAATCAACCAATAACAAATGCTGGTGGGATTGTGGGGAGAAAGGAACCCTTCTCCATTGTTGGTGGGAGTGCAGAATGGTGCAATCACTGTGGAAATAAATATGGAGATACCTCAAAGAACTAGGATTAGAGGTTCCATTTGACCCAGCTACCCCTTTGCTGCATATCTTTTCAAAAGATTTCAAAGAATCATACCACAGTGATATATGCACACCCACGTTTATAGTGGAACAGTTTGTAATGGCTAAAACTTGGAAACAGACCAACTGCCCATCAGTTGGAGACAGGATAAATAAGATGTGGTTTTAAAATGGATGCATATTAAGGCCATACTCTTAAGTGAAATAAATAAGACACACATGTGTAAATACCGAATAGTTTCTCTGGTGTGAAAAACTAAAAGTGTAAATAAGATCCAAATTGTATTACTGACAATGTGAAATAGGAAGAAAAGGGCTAAAGGTGTAAGGGAAGTGGGAATGGTAGGGGAAAGGAAATAAGGGAAAAGAAAAAATATGAGAAAAGGAAACAATGGAAACAAAGTCTCTGTAAATAGGGAAGAGGGGAGTGGGTGGAGGGAATGGGGAAAAAAATGAGAACCAAGATCTATCATGTAAGGGTATAAGATCCCAATGATGAATGAAACTGTACTGTATACTTAGAAGTACCAATAAACTCAATAATGACAACAACAAAAAAAAAAACAAAAAGTTTTAAAAAGATGTTTGTTTTATAATAAGGGTAAAAAATGACTGTCTATTGATCGATCCCATCATTTCTCTTTTGGTGTTTTTTGAGACAGTCTTACTAAGTAGTCCAGGTTGGTCTTGATTTCACTATGTAACCCAGATCAGCCTTCAATTTAAAGCCATCTTTTTCAAGCCTGAGATTAAAGGCATATACCACCACTCAGCAAAAACAGCTTTTTAAAAATGTAACATAAAGGCAGGCCTGGTGGCTCATGCCTGTAATCCCAACATTTGGTATGCTTAGGCAGGAGACTGCTGTGAGTTCAAGGCCAGCCTGGATTACAAAGCAAGACCCTGTCTCAAAAAAGCCAAATAGGGCTGGGGATGTAGCTCAGTGGCACAGCACCTGCCTGGCAAGCATGAGGTCCTTAGTTCAATCCCTGGTCCAAAAAAAAAACAACAGACAAAAAATAAATAAAAAATTTAAATGTAACATAAACCAAAAACCAAAAACCAAAAAAAAAGCCAGGCGTGGTGGTGCACGCCTATAATCCTAGCATCTAGGAGGCTGAGGCAGGAGGATCACTTCAAATTTGAGACCAGCATGGGTTACACAGTGAGTTTCGGGGCAGTCTGAACTAGATAGTGAGACCCTGTCTCAAAAAAACAAAAAATAAATAAACAAATTAATTAATTAATTAAATGTGACATAAAGATGTATAAGGCTACAATCAGTTTATCCATCACCTTTTATTTCTGCTTCAAAAATGCCTATGGTAGTAGAAAAGGGTTTATTATAAAAACTTAAAACTACAGTGGTTCATGGACTTAATTTTTTTTTTTTTTTTTGGTAGTGGAGATCAAACTTGGGTCCTTGCGCTTGCAAGGCAGGCAGCAGAACCACTGAGCTAAATCCCCAGCCCTTATGAGCTTAATTCTTTCCACGATTCTAGTCTCAAACTGAATTTGACGAGAACCAAATCAAATTCAATGTTTAGGTTCAATGTTGACTTTATGGGGAAATTTCATTTGGTTCTCATCCAATTCAGTTTGTGAACAGAACTGTGAAAAGAATTAAGTTCATGAACCAAGGTACCACTATACTCTTCCATATAGTATATTTGGAATTTTGAGAAAATGTTCCTATCTAGCAGGCAAGGTAATAAAATATGAGCTGTGACATATTATATAAGCATCAGATATTATATCATTATCCAAAAGCTGGTAAGTGAGGCCAGGTGTGGTGGCACACGCCTGTAATCCCAGCACTCGGGAGGCTGAGGCAGGAGGATCGCTGTGAGTTCAAGACCAGCCTGGGCTACATAGTGAGTTCCAGGTCAGTCTCAACTACATAGTGAGACCGTCTCAAAAAACAAAAAAACAAACAAACAAAAGCTGGTAAGTGGCTTGGTAAAACATATTTAAGGAAATTTCATGTAATCTCTAAGATTACAAAGAGTACTTTTGTATACATACTCTCTGTGAACTTGAGCACCAGTTTTACCAAACATATTATAATTCATCAGCTCTATCATCTTATATGTAATGTAAATGAAAGACACATTAATTACAAATATGTTTATGCCACTAGACAAGCAGACAAAATGGGGAAAAAAAGCACACTATTACATTTTCTCTTTTATCAACATACACTTTTTTTTTTAAGCAAAACACTTACTGGTACATTTACTTACACTCTTTGTATGAATTCTGGAAAAAGTTGTGAATGGTGCCAAAAACTTAGAAGATGCGTTTTCCTTTGGACATGAAATATGAATGCTTTTCTAGAGAGAAAAGACAAAAATCCATCAATGAAGCTACTCCAGTGTACTTAAAACCTTTTAAAACCTCTTTAAAAAAGTTCTTGGGGCTGGGGATTTAGCTCAGTGGCACTGCACCTGCCTCACAAGCATAAGATCCTGAGTTTGATCCCTGCTACAAAAAAATAAAGTTTTTGCAGGAAGCAAATCTACTCTTTTTTTTTTTTTTTTGAGATAGGATCTCACCATGTAATTCAGGCTGGCCTCTAACTCCCAGCGATCTTCCTGCTTCAGCCTCCTGAGTGCTGGGATTACAGGTGTGTACCACCACACCCAGCTCCCCACAAGAATTTCTAAGAAAAAGTGTTAGACTACTAACATTTATAGTTACCAGACAAAATTGGTAAAGTAAATTATGGTATACCCATACAATGTTTAGAGCTATGTCAAGATTATAGTGCCATCACAGGACTTAATTTGACTACTACACATGATCACAGACTAGCTATCATCACAAAGCTGTCTTATAGGGCCCCATATGTTTCAACTATGTGATCCAAATATACAGCTCATGCTTAAATAAAAGATTTTATTACACTAAAAAACAAATTGCCATTAATACCTCAAAATATTCACCCTCACTTTGAACACACTTACTCCATCATTCTTGCCATTTTCTGAAGCAGTTTTAAAGGACTTCTTTCATGAGGGTCTACAAGATGTGATCAAAACTATAGTGAATGCTGCTGCTAAGTACCACCCAATGGAAAGGCAAGCAAGTAAAAAACATTTGGTTTGTCCTCATCTGAACCTGGCACAACTTCTGACTCTTTCTCAAAGTCAAAATGACCATGAAAGGTAAAAGTTTTGAAAAGATTCAGTATATTGAGCAGCTACAACAGTACAACTAAAGATACAAGTGAACTTCTAGAACTACTTCAGAGTGTGGCAAGAACATGGGGTAAGTATGTTTGAAGTGAGGTGGAATATTTTGAGGGGGATTACTGGCCGTGTGTCTTTTACTGTGATAAATTTATATTTACCGTATTTTGTTTGTTTGTTTGGTACCGGGGATCGAATTCGGGACCTTTTGCTTGCAAGGCAGGCAGCAGAACCACTGAGCCAAATCCCCGGCCCTACCATATTTTTTTAAATCATACCCTTTATAGCTAGAATCAGAAGCTAAATTTAGGTGATATGACTTGCTAAAGGGCATTTGTAATTATTTTATGTAAATTTATAGTGGATTGATAAAAGGTTTGGTAAACTCTTGCTCAAGGATTCTTGTAATGTAACATCCCTTAATCAAACCAACAAAACAAAAACACCAAGACTCCAACCAACAGAATACCACCTAACTATGAGAAGCTGAGAAGTTACACTCACCAAAAGGCCCTAACCTGTCCTCTCCTATGGAGTAGTACTTCAGAGCTTTTAGAAACTCTTTAGGACAATGAAAATGTCTTCAATAACTAAGATTTCCTGAATCACTTTATCTCCAACAGATACACGTCCTCATACTTCATTAAAAATAACACTTTCAGGGCCAGGGATTTAGCTCAGTGGTTCCACTACCTGCCTTGAAAATGCAAGGTCCCGAGTTTGATCCCCGGTACCACACACACCACACAAATACAAACAAAAAGAACACTTTCAAAGTCAAAATATTCTCACCACTGAAAATCAATGTGCTATTATTACACGTCATTACTCCTTTTAAAAGACAACTACAATAGCTATATAAATATTGTTTTCTTAGCCAGTATATCCATGCTCAGCTACCTGCATGACTTTCATTAAATGAGTGCTTCTAATAAGGAGACAGAGCCCATACAGCTACAAGGTAGCTAACCTAGATTTGGAACTGTCTCCTATAACAGAAATGAAGGGTCAGCTAGTTATCTCCTGGTTGAAAAGTTAGACCAACAAGGATACAAGGAGCTCCAAAGCTTAGTGTTCAAGGTCTCCGTAAGAACTGGAGTTCTTCTCAGAAGAATTCATTATATGAAAGATTTCAAAAATCAATGTTTTTCTCCTGCATATCAATCCTGCAAATGAAACCTTAATCTTTACACAGACTACAGAGGAAGATAAATGTTGAACTTCTTCCAATGTCAGCAGTAGACAAGCATGCTGTTAATGAAAATATTTTAAAGAAAAGCTGCAGGAGATATCAAAACAGACAAAATTCAAGGGGAAGAAGCGTAAGTGTGAAACATTAAGATAAAATTCTGTCAAACATTTTTTTTTTTTTAATTCTCCGGGGTTAAGCATTTAAGCATAATGACAGATCTGCTGTTTAAAAGAACAAAGTAGCAACAACAAATAGCAAAGTGATTCACGGCAGCTAGGCAACAAATAAATGCTCAACCATAAGCACTTACTGTCTGAACCCACCCAGCAGGTTCACCGTAGAAATTAGAAATGATGTTTGAAGAGATAAGGACTATATCTGGGCCTGGGTATGAAGGGAAGAAATACAGATCAAGTATTTCCTATTAAAAGGAGACACTGGACTGAGATATGCTATACAAATAAAATATAAAATTTTGGGAGCTGGGGATTTAGTTCAGTGGTGCCACTGCCTGCCTCACAAGCGCAAGGTCCCAAGTTCAATATCCAGTAACCAAAAAAAAAGAACTTTGGGGCTGGACATGGTGACACATGCCTGTAATACCAGCACTCTGGGAGGCGGAGGATGGAGGATTGCAAATTTGAGCCCAACCTGGGTAACTTAGAAAAACTCTTGTCTCAAAATTAAAATTCAAACAAACAGACAAAAAAGAAAAACCCAAAGTAGAATCCAGGGCTAGAGTCTGCCAAAAACTGTATATACATTTCAGGAACAGAAAGATAGTATGATGTTTTTGTATTAGATGGTGTTACTCATATGGGGATGTCGTATATACACTGCCAGCCCTCAGAGAAGAAATTGAAAATGCATGTGCAGCAATCTCAATGACCAAGGTTATCCAAGCAGCAGTTTGCTGTACTAGTAAATGTCCGGAAGCTCATGGCCACCACTTTGAGAACCTCTTGTAACTGCAGAAGCCAAAGCTAACTTGTATTAATCTTATGATGTCTCAATAAAATTAGTACTAAAATATTTATACAAGTTTTTCTTTTCTGGAAGTGTGTATATATATTTTTGGTGGACTTTAAGTACATATCTATATCCATATCTTTATCTACCTTAAGAAAAAAAGGAAATATAAAAGTCAGCATCCAGGCTGTGGATGAATACTGACACCAAACCTGGGAAAAATATAGGCTTGCAAGGTGGTGTTAAACTTGCAATCAATAGAACTGAGTTTTGGGCTGGGGATTTGGCTCAGTGGTTCTGCCACCTGCCTCTCAAGCGCAAGGACCCGAGTTCAATCCCAGGTACCAAAAAAACTGAAAAAAAAAAACCAAAAACAAAAACAAAAAAAAACCCAGAACTGAGTTTCAATTCCAGTATACAATCTGACCCCCCACCACCACCATACCAGGGATAGAACTCAGGACCTTGTGCTTTTAAGGCAGGTGCATCCACTGAACTAAATCCCCTCCCGGTCTGACTTTGAGTATTATGGATTAATTAGCCTCAAGTCTGTTTTCTCTTTCTTTTCTTTTGAGACAGGGTCTCACTATGTAGTTCAGACTGCCCTGGAACTCACTGTGTAGCCCAGGCTGGTCTCAAACTCACAACAATCCTCCTGCCTCAGCCTCCCAAGTACTGGGATTACAGATATGTGCCACGACACACAACTTTTCTTTTCTTTTTTTTTTTTTATACCAGGGATTGAACTCAGGACCTTATGCTTATGAGGCAGGCGTGGCACCACTGAGCTAAATCCCTGGCCCTTTTGTGGGGGCCGTGGGACAAGGTCTCACTATGTAGTTCAGGCTGGCCTTGAACTCACTAGTAGTCTAGGCTGGCCTCAAACTTGCTGACATCCTCCTGCCTCAGACTCTTAATGCTAATGCTAGGATTACAGGCATGCACCACCAAATCCGGCAGTCTGTTTTCTTATCTGCAAAACAGAAATTTAAGATTCCCATCCCACTGGATTGTTATGGTAAACAATAGGTAATTTTTGTAACATTTTGCAGTTTCATCCCTATACCTGCTCACTTCCCAATGGTCAACCTATACAATGTTATCTCTGTGATAGAAATGAGGAATTGAGGTTCAAAGAACCAAGTTATTTGTCTAAAATTACAAAGTTAGTAAGTACACTAAGATTTAAACCGAGATCTTCTGACACTTTCTACAACCATAGCTGCTTTGAAAAACAAATATAAAATATATAATAACAAGTAGTCTTGCCAGGGATTTAGCTGCTGCCTGCCTCACAAGCACAAGGTCCGAGTTCAATCCCTGATACCAAAAAAAAAAAAAAAGTAGTCTATTACTTGGTACAAAAAGGGTAAAGAATGAACATTTGCTAAAAATCCCACGTACAAAACATACTAATCTCTATTGTTGGGAGCAATCTACATAATTTTGGGGAAAAATCATTTGATTAGGCCTAGTTCTCCTGCCTACAGGGCAGCTATGGCATGTTGAGATATGACTCCATTTTGGCTCCAGTCCCAGATAAGACTTCAATGGTCAGTGATGCTGTGATGCTCCAGGACAAGATTATACCAGCTGAAGACATCCTGGGAGGAACAAAATCTTCATCTGCATAGTTCCTCATTGTTGTAGGATGTTCCCTGATGCCACTACCCTCCCAGTAACCTTTTACATTCATTACTCTCAGATGTACTGAACTCTCTGCCCTGAGTGATGTACTGAACTCTTTGCCCTGTTATATTTGTTTGTTTTTTCCGATGCACTGAATAAAGGTGTGAAAAGCTCAGGAGCTTTCAGGGCCCTCATCTTTGCCACCCAGAGCAGCACTGATCAGGCGCAAAGATCAGTTTCTTCTCAAAGTCTCATTTTTCTATTTTTCCTGTATAATAAGTTAATTTGCCTTGTGCTGTCATTGCTTGCAAGAGACTAGGACTTACTGCAGAGGTTCTAGGAATGTCCCTTTTCCCTTCCCCACACTCTATTCTTGTCAGTATACACAAAACACCTTAACAACTATCAGGCCTGATGGCACAGGCCTAAAACCCCACCATTCTGGGAAGCTGAGGCAGGAGAACTGCAAGTTCAAGCTCACCCTGAGCAATTCAGAAATTTAATGAGACTGTACTGCAAAATAAAAAAATAAAAATAGGAAGGGGATGTAGTTCAGTGCAAAGGCCCTAGGTTCAATCCCCAGTACTGAAAAACAAAAACAAAAGAAACCTTACAACCAAAAATTTTTAGTTATACTACAGCAGTCAAAATAAGTAAGGAAAGGGAGATCACGGATTCCACAACACAGCTTAGTGATCTATTCAAAGACAAGTAAGAAATTTACAGAGTACAATTAACATGGGCTCTCCACAGATTGTGAGGTATGCTATCCAAATATGGTAGGGACAAACTACACCAGGCTATTCCATACTTGAAATGTGACTAGTGCAAATACAGAATGGAATTTTTTTTTTTTTTTTTTTTTTTTGGTACTGGGGATTGAACTCGGGTCCCTGCGCCTGCAAGGCAGGCCACCGAACCACTGAGCTAAATCCCTGGCCCCAGAAAGGAATTTTAAATGATTTCTGGAATTTTAAATTTTATTTAAAATCCAATTTAAAAATTGATATTCAAACCGGGTGTGGTGGCGCACGCCTGTAATCCCAGCACTTGGGAGGCTGAGACAGGAGGATCGCTGTGAGCTCGAGACCAGCCTGGGCTACAGAGTGAGTTCCGGGTCAGTCTCAACTACATAGTGAGACCCTGTATCAAAAAACAAAACAAAACAACGCAAAAAAAGAAATATAACTGGGGCCAGGAATTTAGCTCAGTGGCTCTGTGCTTGCCTCACAAGCATAAGGTCCTATATTCCATCCCCAGTACCAAAAATAAATAAAATAAATGTAACTAAAGAGAAAAACATAATTCTTAACACTCAAAGGTAGCAAAAAATTTGATTATTTGTTTGGGTTTGTTTTTTTTTTGTTACCGGGGATCGAACTCTGGTCTTTGCACTTGCAAGGCAGGCGGTGGAACCACTGAGCTAAATCCCCGGCCCAGAAATTTGATTATTGTACAAATGTACTAGGGGTGACACAGACACAGATTACGATATAAAGATATGAAACAGATATATGGGTTTGACCATAGTTTTGAATACCTTGCATCTAGAAGAAATACAATCCTACCTTATTTATTTCATTCACAATAAATCCTTCAGAAGCTATAACCTCTGGGATGCCATCCAGTCCAATTCCTTGACAAGTTAGGCTGCCATACAAAGATGGTTTCCCTACACAGCACAAAAAAAACATGTCTCAAAAGAATATTATGCTTCTTGAAAACCGAATTCAGGCATCTGTACAGATAGTATGCCCATAAAATTTGCCCACAAAATAAAAACAGACATCTGTATTGAAAGTCAGGTAAAGTGGAAAGAGCAAGTTTAATTTAAAACACTAAAAAGTCAGGAAAAATGATTTAGAGATACAGTATTTGTAGAGAAGGCTGCTAGAGTGATAGCAATCTGCTTTACTGGCCATTAAATGGAATTCTTCTAGGGTGAAAGGGGAAGTGCAACCTATATATATGCTTCTATCCACAGTATATATACTATATAACACATAGTGAAAAAAATCAAGCTTCAGTAGTCTGGAAAATTTCCCTTAGTAGAATACTGATTTTCATAGTCATATGAACTAAGTGAAATATTATTTCTCATATAAATATATGCAGATGGCAGAATGAACTTAAAAATGTTTCCAGCCAAGCATGGTGGTGTACACCTATAATCCCAGCTGAGGCTGTAATCAGGAGGCTGAGGCAGGAGGATCGCTGTGAATTCGAGACCAGCCTGGGTCAGAGTGAGA